AGGGGGCTGATTAAAAAATTACAATACATGGCCAAAAAAGTCATACTCTAGACGAATCCAAGTAGACACACTACTGTTATGTGAAAAGACTGCTAAAAAGCAGGATATGCATGCATACTGTGATTCCCATTTGTAAGCATTTTATTTTCTATTATAGAATATTGTATTTAAAAGATGATAGTGGTATGATTAAAGGGTCAATAAAGATTATCTCTGGTCTGCACAGCTTTCGTTTTCTTCTTTCTACTTTTTCTATTTCTCTAAATTTGTTACCATAACCACTCATAACTTTTAATCAGAATAAATGACTTTAAATCGATAAAGGAAAAGAGACAGACATGTACTGAACATGCCTAAAGCTATCCATATTTTTTAAATGTTGAGCTAAAATTTAGAAAGATTTCTCGCCACTTACTGCTCAAGGGGAGGAACAAACCACACAATACACCCGTAGAAGACACTCTATTTCTAGGAATCTACAAGCCTTCCTCCTCTTCACTGTTCCAAGATTATGCACCTCTGTTGTTAGGAGGAAGGGATGTAGGGTGGCATTTGGTATGACGCTAGTCACACATGGCATGAGAAATTCCCGCAAGCTTTCCTAAGGAATCCTCATCATTAAAAAGAAGATGTTCTCAAAGTCTGGCTCTTCTATTCCTCTCCCACCTAAAGTCCCTAATGTATCAAGAGTACACAAAGTAAACTCAAAAGTGATCAAAGGAAGTCTCTGGTTTTACTACATTTTAACCCACAACTTTTTTTTTTTGCCAAAAAGACCAATACTGATCTTTATTCTGCTTTGTTTAAAATGTGATGTCTTCAGCTTTTTCTCACTAATGATGACAAAGTAAAAGTATATTTTTATTCCTTTTGAAAAAAATATGTAGAAACTATATTCCAATAATAATAATAATATTATAACATCACAACATTTTAAGTAGCCTCGGTTAGGCATCCATTCTAAGCACTTTACTTACACTAACTCATTTAATTCTCACAACCCTATGACGTAAGCTCTGTTATCAATACCATTTTACAGATGAGGAAAATGAGGCACAGAGAGGTCAATGAACTTGTCCAAGCTGCCACACAGCTAATGAGCAATAGAACCTGAACCGAGGCAACCCTGCTCCAAGGCCCATATCTTTAACCACTACGACACACTGACTGCCCTCTCCATATTATTAATACATTATTATGGGAGAGAATATTAACCTACACTTTCAATAATAAAAATGCACTGTTCCACTTTTGAGAAACACTGACAAGTGATGCAAATTTTGTACAGCACCTGGCGACATAACAGGGCAGCCAGTGAATACAGAACAAAGGAAGAGGGAGTCAGCAGTTCACACTCAGCCCAGCCACGTCAGGGAGAGGTTCTGGAGTAGAGGAGCCGTATTTATTTTACACTCTTGGCTAACCCAGTCTAGCACCAATACCAGAACTGACAAAGATGAGAGCATGTTCACAAAAGGGAAGGGAGACAGGGCTCTGCCTTCAGGTCTGGAATTTCTCTGGCCTAATAGGTGGTTCTTCAATTCCAAGATCCAAACTGCTTAACTTAAGTGATAGCGAGAATCTCAGACACCAACCAGTCTCTACTTTGGATTAGACCTTGAACTGTGGTCACCTCTCAGCTCTGGGTGAACCTCAGTTTGGAATCCAGGCTATCTGTGATGTCCTCCTGGCAGAGACAGCTGCCCTTGTGACTTCCAGCTGCTGGTTATTAGTTTCTCATGACATTTCTCAGATGTTCATGATTATTTTGTCTGTCCCCAGGAAAACCGAGGGAGAGAACAGGACAAACGTCTTGTTCAAAGGGCACTGAGAGAAGTGATAAAAACAGGAGCTTTTCATACCCCTCTTTGCTTAGCACAAACGAGCTAAGACGGTTCTTTTCTAAATTAGCAAACCCGTCTAAAATGTCATATTTCTTTTCACTAGTGTCACCTTACATAATCATCTGCCATCTCTGAAATCTCTCTCCCCTTCAACTCCTCCATATCTAGCTGGTTACAAAGTCCTGTGGATTCTCTCTCCCAGTCACTTTGAGCCTGTCCTTTTTTCCCGACCTCTGAGCAGCGGTCTGGTTCAGGCTGTGGTTGGGTATGCTCTGCTGAGTCTGCTGCAACTGTCTTCTTCCTCCATGTGTTTCCAAGATCAGATACATGCTCCGCATTGCTGTCAGCGTGACCCTCCTAAAACTAGCATCTGATCAAGTTACATCCGTGTTGGACATACTTTTTTTTTTAATCATCCAGCAGCCATTATTTCATTCTATTAATAATCCTCCTCAGTCCACAGGGTTCTATGGATTAACCTCCTCCCTGCCCAGCCCTTCTGCCACCCTCCCAGGGGTGGCCTGAGATCACCAGAGACAGGCACAGGTTCCAGGCCCTCCGGCTCCATTGGCTGTAGGTCACGTGATCAGCCTGAGGTTGTGAAATGAATCACATGAATGGCTCCATGTGGACCCATCGAAGTCCACCCTGGGACCTTCAGTCCAAATTGTCAAGAGAGACGCTCTCCTCTCAGCAATGCAAGCTCCAAGGATCGCTGAGGTTGGACCATCTGGGCCATTCCTGCAGAGTATACAGCCAATACCAAGACAAGCAGAGCTCACGGATGATGAGAAGCCAGAAGAAAGGAGTGGGAGAGGCTCCGACACACATCTGGGGATGCCAGTGGAGCCACCAGACCCTGCCATGCTTCTGCCATCTTGGACTTACCAGTTATGTGAGCAAAGAAATGCCTATTCTAAATTGTCTTCTTGACACTTTGGTGTGAAAAGAGTACTAACACATACAACTCTGCTACTTAAAAAATTTAATAGCATCTTACTTCCTAAAGAGGAAAAAGCACCCAAACTCCTTAGCACAATATTCATGTCCTTCATCCAAAGGGGCCATCGCAGTTTTTCTACTTTAACTCCCCTACCCCAGCCTCAAGTCTTTTCAAATATTAAGATAATAATAATAATAATAATAATAATAATAATAATAATAATAAAATAGAATCAATACTCTCCTCAGAATATTTCCTGAATCTGAATTATTCTTCCATTCTCTCCTTCACTACTCTATCTTCCAGATCTAGCTCCCATTAGGTACCAGTATCGTATTTTACATTACAGCTTCCACATACATGCATAACTTCCCCCGCCTGGACCCTTTGCAAACAGGAAATGACTCCTTCTAAAACTTCATATCTAGCACCTGATGATCTGTTTCAGAGAGTAGACGCTCCACAGATGTTTGAAGCTCTGATTAGAAATGAAAGATGGAGGACTGATACCTGTTAGATTCTTCATTTCTTCTTACATTAGAACTTTTCAAAAATTAACCATATCACTGTACAACCCAGCAACTGTACTTTTGGGCACTTATACCACAAAAACAAGTTAATCTTTATACAAAAACCTGTACATGGTGTTTATAGCAGCTTTATTCATCCCCAGGCTGGAAACAACCCATTTGTCCTTCATTGGGTGAATGGCTAAACAAACTGTGGTACATCTATACCATGGAATACTACTCAGCAATAAAAAAGAACTGCTGATACACATGACAACTTGAATAAATCTCAAAGGAATTATGCTGAGCAAAAGAGTCAATCCCAAAGGTTATACATTGTATGATTCTATTTATATAATAACCTTGAAATTACAAAGCTCACAGGAATGGAGAACAGATTAGTGGTTGCCAGGGATTAAAGACAGGGGTGAGGCATGAGGGGAGGCAGATGGGGGTAGCTATAAAAGGGCATTAGAAGGCATCCTTGTGGTGCTGGACCTGTTCTGCATCTTGATTATACCAATATACTGGTTGTGATACTATAATCTAGCAAGATTGTACTCATGGAACAAAGTGGGTAAAGGTCCTCAGGATCACTCTACATTATTCCTTATAATTGCATGTGAATCTACAATTATCTCAAAGTAAAAAGTAAAGTTTAAAAAAAAAACTATATCCCAAATCCAAACCAAAAAACAGATTCTCCGTATAAGAGTTCCTCACCAATAATCATAGTTGCAAACAAAAGATCTCACTGCGGCTACAACACATTTAGAGTTTTGCTTACAAACATGAGTGGCTCACTCCGGAAGAGTTTTTCTGATCAACATGAAGAGGAGATTTCTTTACGTATAAAAATTATTTTCAGAAACTGGGATAGCAAAAGAAATGACAAATACTAACAGGAAAAGTCCCTGCCCAAAGCATGGAGCGGGGACCCCGAGCAACAGGCTACCCCTAACAGTGCACGGCTGGGCTGTCATGGGGTGAGTAACAGCCACAGATCTGGGAAATCTGATCTGTTTGCCATTTAGATCCATGTGACTCACTGAGGCTGGCTGCATTCACATCTAAAAATACAGGAAATCCGCAGCCTAGGCAAATTTGGCTCATTGGCTCATGGGTTTTTGATTCAAATGCTGCACATTTAAAGATAGTGGTTTTATATTTATATCAGCCAGCTGCAAAGGAGGTTCTGCTGCTCAAGTGACAGAGACTAGGTGGAAATCTAGAAGCAAAGAGGATCAAAAGACTTATCTGCTTCTATACATTTTATCTGGGAGTCACAGGCTGATACCTCCTCAGTCACTAGGAACATAAGATCTGAGGTCCTCTGCAGGCTAGAGGGATGCCCTTCCTTGGGTAATGGGTGTGCCCCGTGAAAAGCCTGTCTCCACAGAGGACAGAGGGAGTCATGCACCACTGAAGACAGACCAGGGTGTGGTGGTCACACGAGCGACGGGGTGCCACTGGGAGTGGCAGCGGCTGAGTCCATGCAGAGAGAGGGTGTGGTGCCTTGGACCTGCCATTTTTTTGTTTCGTCCAGTCCCACTCAGTATCTCTTTCAGTATTGCCTGCAGCCATGACTGCTGGTGCATGGGGCAGCCGATTTCTGGGAATTACCTCTTGGACACCCCGTTTCTTCCCAAGAGGCTCCCCCTTCAACGCCTGGGAGGTGCCTGGCAGGGCGGCTGCCACACTCACCCATCAGGACGCTCAGCAGCTTCTGCACCCTGGAATTGACCCCCACGATGCGGTACAGCCCTTGCTCATTGATCCCTGAGAAGAGAACAGTGATGATTTAATTAGAGGCACATCAGAACACAGGTCGAGCCAACCCAGCCACACGCACTTTTTTCATTTTCTCGGTCCTTCTAAAAGCTGCTCTAATTAAAGTCCCCTGTCACTCAGCTCGGCTCTTAGCGAAGGAGTGGGATTTGGTACAGCTGTCTAGGATTTCACGGATGTGCTGCACACTTCAGCCCTCGTGTTAGTTCATCATCAGAGGGGAAAGAAACCTCCCTCTTCTCTTGCCAAGGCAGCATCTGATGAGTTTTGAAAGATGCCAAATATATACTTTTAAATATGTCCCATTTAACCAGTTTTTTAAATTTAAAAAGCTGAAAATGAAATAATAAAAAATTTCATACTGCAGAGAAGAATAAATACTCTACAATCTATTTTCACATATAGAATGCAAATTTTGAGGTATTGGGGCATTTTAAATTTTGGACAATACTGTCAGCCAAGACTGAGAAATCAGAAAATCCATTCATTCGTGGTGTAAATACTCTTTTTTTTAATTGAAGTATAGTCGATTTACCATATTGTGTTAATTTCCGGTGTACAGCATAGTGATTCAGTTATACATACATATATTCCTTTTCATACTCTTTTCCATTATAGGCTATTACAAGGTATTGAATAGAGTTGCCTATGCCATATGGTAGGACTTTGCTGTGTATCTATTTTATATATAGTAGTTACTATCTGCAAGTCCCAAACTCCCAATTTATCCCTCCCCACTTCCTCTCCCCCCGGTAACCATAAGCTTCTTTTCTATGTCTGTGAGTCTGCTTCTATAAATATTCTTTACAAAGAAAAAAAAAGGACCACCTTTATTCAACCCAAGGAAATGTGCACCTAGACTAGAAGAGGTTTACCTTCAAACACCCAAAGAATCAAAACTAACCCACCCCAGCACTTTGTTCATTTAAGTGCAAGGATGAGATCACCACTGTACCAGCTACAAAAGGGGTCCTTTCAGACCAAGTGATATGACATGACTTTTTTCTCCCGTGGGTCCCAGTCCCGTCATACCTGACACTTCTCAGCTAACTGGTCTCCTGGTGCCTCTTACTCCTTTGATGTCCATTCTCCAACCAGTAGCCAAAATGAACTTCTCAGAAGGTAAATCAGCTTGAACTATCTCTTCTCTTAAAACCTTCCAACGGACACCCACTGCATTTGGATCACACTCAAAGCTTACCGAGGCCGGCCTACAAGGCCCCCCGTGGCTGAGGGCAGGCCCACCCCTGATGGCTTTATCAACCACCTTCACGCTGCTCCAGCGACACTGGCCTCCAGTGTACAAAGCTCATGCCCCCAAATCACAGCCTCTGCACAGGATTCCCTCCACCTGGAATACTCTCCTCCCAGCTCTTTTCATCACTCAGCTCTCAGCTTACAAGCAGCTTCTTCAAGCTAATGCATCCCACGACCAACGCTACTGGCCAGTGCTTTACCTGGTTTTCCTTTCTTTACAGCCTTTTAATAACATCTGAAATCATCTTTCTTATTTGCTTTCTTGTTTGCCTCTTCCGCTACAACTACAATGTAAACTCAAGTACAGTAAGTCTGACTTCTTCACCACCGTA